ATGTGGCTAAGAGTTTCTTTTGCTCGTGATTTTTTACGACCTATTTTTCTGACTATTCGTGCTGGGTTTTCTCGTCTAATTTACTTTTCTTGCGAGTTTATTTAAATCTGTTGCAAGTCATATTACGTTCGCAATATTAATACATAGCAGTAGCAGATGCCCATATGCGCTTTTACAGTTTATCTTCGACATTTTACTTTACTGCATTTTACCTTTTAAATACATTTAATTTAACTGCAACTTGATTATTCTGCCTGCAAAATCAGAACTGAAACCAAAATTGAAACAAAACAAAATCAAACATTGACACCGAAATCGTGAAACATAAATCACCCATCTCAAACACTTAAACTCTGGAGTCATCGCTACAACAGGAGTTTGCAGGCAACTTTGTGGGCAGCACGACGATGAGCTTGGATCGAGCGACAAGAGAATCTTCTTCAGCATTATCTCTTCCTAGCATAATAAAGCATAATAACAACTAATAACAACTCATAGGACTTCGAGGTAGTTTGTCCAGCGCGACGTAAATCCTCACATCTTCTTTAGACTCCTATACAACCATGCTGTGCAGCGTAAGTGCTAACTCGTCTTAAGTTCCGAGGTTGTCGTGTGGCACGACGTAAACCTCTTAGCTCTGCGGGCTATTTGCATAATCATGTATTATGCAAATGTAAATCTCAAATAATAAAATTGACAGAATTGAATAATTGAATAACATCATCTCTAAAAATGCAGTCATACAGTAGGATAGTCTGAGAAGTCATCCTCATGATCTATGACATCCCCTACCTGTTCCTTCCTTTGGACTCCTGAAATAACTGTTCATATTTGAGCCACTCCCATTTGTCTTTCCACGTCCTACTGTGAAAACCTAAACTTTGAAATCTTGAAGACTAATACCTTTGATCATTATCGAGAGTTTTCTCAAGTGATCTTAGTCATTTGAGACGTAATTAACTATAGGGGTTTGCCTCTATAGGAAATTTTGAACCCAGATAAAATAAATTCTATTTAATCTTTATATTAGATAGGCGAACTTGCCGGTCACATATAAAAGATTCGCAGAACAAACGGATATCACAAATCTCTTAGTTTGCATAATTGGGTCTATCACCGAGGTCTACACTTATCTTTCGGGAATGTATAGTATTCGCGGTATCGGACACGATTATGTAAACTATTGGATGAATGAGATTCATTTGGTCTCATTTTTCGAAAATTAAAACATATTACTTTCAAAACCCAAACTATATATCTATTATATTAAATAAAATTTCAAAAATTATTTTCATATTTTTCAAACCTTCAAAAAAGTTGACCAACAAATTCTGGCGACTGCGCTGGGGATTAGTTCCTCTCTCTATTTTGATCAAGAGGTTTTGTCTTCATACATCGACAGTGTGTCCATGTGCCTCGTAGGCCAGACTGTTGTTCTTCCGTTGACCTATTGTGCTCATTTCTTCTTTGAGTCAATATGGTCAACTCTTCTTGGATTTCAGGACCATCTGCTTAACCATCCTTAAGCAAAGAGGTTCAGGAATCCCTACGGTTTAGTGGGTTGGACCCCCAGTAGGTGTGGTAGGTTAAGGTCGGAGTGATTCCGATGTGGAATGGGTCTTTTCCAATTCTAGACCTCGTGATCGCTTCAGTTCTCTTCCGAGTTCGACTTATTCTTTTTGCAAGTCACCTCAAATTTTAACTTTGAAGCTTACTTTGAAGCTTTCAAATTTTAACTTTGAAGCTTTCTCGATAATATTAAAACTTCACAACCTAATGCCCAAAACAAGCATTTACAGTTAAAGAATCAGACAAAATTTTGAACAAAAGACACGAAAAAGCGATAATAAATATAAATTCAAGGCAAAATTACTTAGATAAGTTTCGAAAGAAACGCCCAGTTCATAAGACAATTTTGTCAACTCATAAGACAATTTTGTAAACGCCCAGTTCATAAGACAATTTTGTCAACTTTTGTGCTTTCAGCTAAGTTATTTCACCCGGGAATAGAGCACAATACTCTGACATTCAACAATTTTTGAACTGACAGGAAAGATGTCGTCTCCAACGTTGACCTTCTCGTGCAACTTGCCTACTAGTAGGGATGCCCGCCAGGTGGGATCCAAGATTAAGTTTGGGTCTGGATTTGACGAGTTTGATGTAGTACTCGGTAAGACCCCGTTCGTCATAATGAAAGTCGTTGCCCCGGATGTCCAAGAGCCGTCCACTAAATTCGAATTGTGGCCAAGACTTCCCTCCCCTCAAGAGGGCAAAGGTCACTTCTGCTCCCATTAAGCCAGTTGCCCCTGTTACTACCAGAGCTGCTCCCGTTTCTGCAAAGACTTTCACTGTCACTCCCGCTGAGATTATTATGGTTGCGCATGCTCCCCCACCGGTGTCTAAAAGAAAGAAAATTTTGTGTGAAGAGAATCCGATTCTTGCCATTGGCCCACCTCCATCTGTGTTTGAAATTTGTTCTAGTTCGAAGTCCGGTCGACTTATCAGGACTCAACGGAGGAACCACAACCGTAAGATTCTGAAGGCTAAAAGGGCAGAAACTTCGAAAACTGTTCCGTCCAAAGAAATTCCTCAACAGGAGGAAGTTGGGTTGTCTGAGACCGCACCTCTTCTTGGAGGAAGCAGGTTTCACCCATTGTCTGCCGCTCTCGAGGAGGAGAGTGCTCATAAGATCGCCGTCGCAACACCGACACCACCTCGCCGCCAGGGCGAGAAGAGAAAGAGGCATGAGCCTTTTGCACTGACCCGCTTGGTTTTCGAAAGATTGGCCCGAAAGGAGCGTTGCTCCGTTGCCGAGATAATAAGAAGGATGGGGTGTGCTGTATCGCCCTTAGTCCGAGCAGAGATTCTGAGAAAAGATGGTGGTGAGACAATGACACAACGACCTCGTATTCCCGTTAAGCTTCGCTTGGGAGAACGTTCTGATACCGCTGCTACCCATATTGTTACTGCTGCCGCCTCACAGAAGCCCCCAGAGCACCGAATGATCCAGTTTCGCTTGGGTCCAAGGACACCACTTGCCGCCACGAAGGGAGAACCTCAAAAGATAAACAATGAAAAAAGATTGCTTGTTACCGCATCCAAACCGCTTGCTAGGGATCGCGATTTATCCCGGAGAGTCGAGGCTGCCAACGAGACGTCTAGTCTCCAGACCTTGGTTTCGAAGGAGAGGTTGCAGAAACCTAACGTCGTTGGATTGGTGCCGCAACATGGATCAAAAGGATGTCTCCCCGCAAAGGATTCTAAGTCTGATGCCGCAGTTTCTAGTGTTCCAGTCGTGCCAAAGCCAGTGTTTATAAAAGATGTACAACAACAGTCCCCAGTCGATCTCAAGATCATTAAGGGGAAATCGATTGAAGACACATTGGAGAAGATCTGGGCTGAAATCACTAAACTGTCAAAAGAACAACAAGGAAACATCGATGATGAATAATACGATTTGTTGGATCATATGGATGAAGATTTTGCAGAAATCCTAGTAGTTGAGACTAGAGCCTCCGCGTCATCGCGCGATGCTCCTTTGCCCACCGAGGAGAACGCCGATGATGAGCTGCGGAGAGCCATCCGACAAAGGGATGAACATATTATCTAGATGGAGAAAAGGATGGAGGAGATGATGGCCGTTATCACTGCACTTCAGAATCAACCCCAATCTCCGAGAGTAGCCTTTCCAGAAGCAAATTAGCCAGAAATCATTCATATTGCAGATGAAAATAGAGAACCAACCCAGAACACAATACCGGAAAAGGACATCAAACAGATGGTTGAACAACAAGTAAGGGAAGCTTTAGCCCAATCCAAAGGAGGAGCATTGATTCCAAAGGGTTGACCGTATCCAGAGGAATTCGACGCAGTGCCGTACCCAAAAGGCTTCGTACCACCTTCATTCAAAACATTTGATGGAACATGAGGAATTCGACGCAGTGCCGTACCCAAAAGGCTTCGTTCCACCTTCATTCAAAACATTTGATGGAACATGGACACCATATCACCATTGGTGA